GATCATCAGTTTGCTGTCAGGCTTCCCACCCCTTCGGGTAAGATGGACAGCCCTACCATGCTCTCCAACTGGTTCAGGGAGTACCGTTGGGGCTGGGGCCCTGTTCTGGTCTAGCAGGGAGCTGGCCTCAGGAAACTTGGGTCTGGATCCCAACAAGCCCTGTGTTTCCAGTATGCCCCAGCCTCCCCTTCTGTACTATGGCCGTAGTGCTGCAGAGGGTCACACTTTCCATTTCTGAAATCCAGCAAGCAGTGGCTGTGTGGCCTTGGCAAAGTCATTTAACCCTCCTTAGGCTCAAAGGTTATTAGCTGTTAACTTTGGCATGAGAAAAGAACTCACCCCATAGGGGTCTCAGGAGCAGTCATTGAGATACGTGGATTTTTTACCGTTAGCCCAGTGCCAAGTGAGTTCTTGATAAACATGAATTTATTTACAAGGCGAGGATGGGGTCAGGCAGTTCCTGCGACCACTCTTCCAAACTGTCCTCCTCACGCCTCTCACAGAAAAAGGTGCAATGCGTCAACATGGACCGCTTCTCTGTCCAGCTGGGCTTCTACCTCAGCCCGCACTTCCTCCAGGAATCCAGCACCATCAAGCTGGGCCAACAAGGCTTCGTGCAGGTATGGGGCACCCCACTTGACTCCTCAAGTCTGGGTTCCTTTGTTCCCAACACTGTTAGAGGAAAGATGGAATTTCATCTTCCAGAGGAAGGTGAGGGTCAGCCTAGGTGTGTAGAAGGGACAGATCAAAAAGGAATTGCAGGCCAGGTGATGGTGGTGCACGCCTTTAATCCAGCACTCAGGAGGCAGAGGCAGGCCGATCTCTTTGAGTTTGAGGCCAGCCTGGGCTAAAGAGCAATTTCAGGACAGGTTCCAAATGCAAATAGGAATGTCACACTGTCCTTCCTGTTTGCTGTCAGTGAAGGATGAAGGATTTCTGCATATACTGCATCCCCCTTCCCTCTCTGTGCAGGTGAGCATGTCCCCATCCACCTCTGAGGTCACAGTCAAGCTAGACAGCTGCCATCTGGATTTGGGGCCTGAAAGGGACATGGTGGAACTCATCCAGAGCCGAGAAACCAAGGGCAGCTGTGTGAGCTTGCTGTCTCCAAGCCCTTAAGGTGACCCACGCTTCAGTTTCCTCTTCCATGTCTACATGGTGCCCACACCCACAGTTGGCACCCTCAGCTGCAAAGTAGCCCTGAAGTCCAACACCATGTCGAAGGTGAGTGGGGCTCGCCCAGGTCTAGTTTCAAGGTGGCTTCTGGGTCTGGGGTTTGCAGATAAAGAGGTGAAGGGTGCAGTGAGATCTAGACAGCTGGTGGCCAGCAGAGCAAGAGCCAGGCATAGGGCTGGACGGCCTGGCTATTGGGAGCAGTCATTGCTACCTTATGAATAAATCTGTGGCATTAGAATATATGTACAGCTGCAACTACAGCTGTCCATCCATCCATTTATTCTTGGCATATTTAACCATCCTGTCATTCATTCACCCACCCATCAGGAATGTGAGCATTCATCCGTATGCCCACCCATGTACCCAACCATCCACTCACCCATGCAAACAACCCACACTTCCACTCACCCACCTATCCATCCTTTCACCAATCTACCTACCTATCCATGTACTCTACCCAACCACGCATCTATCTACCTACCCATCCCTTTACCCACCCATCCCTCCACCACCCACCCGCGTATCCACCTACCTTCCATTCCCTCTACTCATCCATCCACCCTATACATCCACCATTCTCAGTACTTCCCACCGAGACACTCACTTCCAGCATCCTGCCTACCCAAGAGGTGATTGCCTGTGAGCAATCTCAATGAACCAGATAGCTTTGTAAAAGAACACGGGCAAAGCCTGCCATTCCGCTTTGTGTGTGCAGTGAGTCTCTGTTCTCAGGCTCTCGGTCCTGACAGTCACAAGAACACTCCAGGTGTCTGCACAGAGATTTCCAGGCCTCAAAACCTCCCGAAACTGGGGCCACCAAAAGGCCACACCTTCCAAGCCCTGAGCCTCCAGCCTCTAAAACAGGTGTCTGGGATGGCCTGGCTCGTGGCTCGTGGCTTGCACAGGGGATCCCACTAAAGACACGAGCATCAGAGGCCCTCCAGGAATGCCAGAGACGGTTCACAGCAGGCACAGACTCTCACACAGCTCACGCCTCCCGAGGACTTGCCCACAGCTAGGTGGGCATAGGACTCAGCCAGGGCTTGGAAAGGTGGCAGGCCAGAGCTGCAGAGACCCACACGCTGCCAGCTGAAGGCGGGACCACTTAGCTATCACTCTCCTCCCCCCTCAGGGAGTCTCCAAGACCATCTCCGTGCGCCTGAACATCGAAAGCCCTGACCTGTCTTGTAAGTCGGGAATGGTGGACAGTGGGATGGAGCAGACACTGGTGGGAAGCCCTTGGCAGGAGAGGAGGGTTTCTCAGGCCCAGCAGCCAGAGGAACTCACAGCCAGATGCCCATTACTAGAGGAAGGAGGACTGTTGAGTGCCATGGGCCAGCTCTCTTGACCTCAGGCCCCTCCCAAGCCTCATATCTGTCCCCTTAGTCCCTGGTACACCTTGCTGAACTTGACTTCCTGGATGGAACATGAGGCACCCAAGGTGTGGTTTAAGCCTTACATTCCTTGACACCCCAAGGGTGGAGGAGACCCCTTTGGCCTGGCACCCTGTGGTCTCTTTGTTCCCCTGAGCCCAGGCACCACCAAGCAAGGCAGTACCTGCTGCTAGGGGCAGATATATGCCGTGTAGGTTAGGATGGCTTGTGCTCACCCAGTCAGAATCAAGAAAGAATGCAGGGCTCTTAAGTCCTCTGCATAGACAGGGAGCCAGAGACCAAGGGCCCGGGGCCATGTAGAAGACAGGGCCGTGGAAGGAGTGGGGGCTGCAGTAACCTCTGGTTACTAGTCTCAAACGATGTTCTGGACCATCTGAACCCCGCATAAGGCTCAGAGATGAGTGGGGGCTCACCTAAGGTTACACAGAGTGGCAGAGCAGCCCCTTTCATTCTTTGCACCTATGAGACCATTCATAAAGATGTTTCTCTGCTAGCTGGGTCCTCAGCTTAGTACTGCACTGAGCCCACGTGCTAGATGAAAAGATGAGTTTGGAGAACTCAGAGGTCGCTGGCTGAACTAAAGTGAGCTAGGCTAACACGACCGGGTAGGGGCAGGCCCAAGGCCAGAGTACAGCAGCAACACTCACTCCCACTGGCTCTTCTCTCACACAGGCAAAGGCCTCGACCTGTCCTCTGTACTGGGTATCACCTTTGGTGCCTTCCTCATTGGGGCCCTGCTTACAGCTGCACTCTGGTACATCTATTCTCACACACGTGAGTACCCCAATTCCCCACCCCATCCCTACCATGAGCACTCAGGGCCCCTCCACACAGCCCTGGGGCATGCTCAGTGAAGCCTCTGGGGGAGCGGGGAGTCCTAACTGGGACCCTGACCTCCACCCCGCCCACGCCCCTCAGGTTCCCCCAGCAAGCGGGAGCCCGTGGTGGCAGTGGCTGCCCCGGCCTCCTCTGAGAGCAGCAGTACCAACCACAGCATCGGGAGCACCCAGAGCACCCCCTGCTCCACCAGCAGCATGGCGTAGTGCCCAGCCTGAAGCCTCGGGACCCCCCCAAGCCAGTCCTCACCCTGCAGTAGAGACTGAGCAGCCGCAAGCTGGGAACCACCGGCCATGAACTTGTCCCAGAAACCAAACACCTCTCTGCTCAGCCGAGGATGGAGCATGCCCCCTGCACCTCACATCAGAGGCTTGTTGCCAGTGGAGACTCCAGCCTGAAACCCCACTTCACAGAACTATCCAACCCAGGGGCTCTGGGGTATGACTGCCCAGGACTACAGAGAGACACAGCAATGCCCTGTGCATTGAGTAGAAACTAACGTAGCTGCCTTCAAGCTGGATCCTGTGCTGGTTAACTGGGCAGGGTGGGAGGCAAGAACTCCAGACATGCTAGCCCAGGGCAGCCAGAGCCACCTGCATCTGGCCCTAGTGGCCTCTTCACCTGGACTGGCACAACTTTGGTGGGGAAACAGAAGCTGAGGGTTGCTCAGCTTGGGGAGGGGAACCTCAGAAGATGGCAAGAACAGTGGGGTGGGGGGGCCCAGTTCCTCCCAGAAATGCCAGAGACCTCCTCCCAGCCCATCCATTGGACGGGGACAGCAGGAGGTGAGTGGCCAGGCTGCTGGTCCTGGGCCAAGCCCTGTATATTCACCAATAAATCAGACATGAAACCAGTGCCCCTTGGGGTCGTCCTGGGAAAAGGGGAAGGGCCATTATGACAGGACGGGGCTGCACATCCATTGGGATGGCAAGCACATGCTCAGAAGAAACCTCTGCTGCTCATTTGGTGGCCTGACTCTGGGACAGAGGCTGCAGAACCAAACACTTAGCCCTGCCTACAGTCTCTGGGGTTTGGGACACAGCTACCCCTATAAAGTTCTGGATTCTAATCCTGAACATGTCTCTTCTCCACAGTGGGCCTGTGGACAGCTCCATGGTTTCTGGAAGCCAGCCACCCTCCCTCGCCGATAAGATGGGCATACAGCTTGAACACACAGTGGGTGGGGAGGGTGGGGGGTTGCAAAGCACTCTCTTGTGTGTGGCAGACAAACACTGGGCCAGTCATTTCTTTTCCTTTCTTTTGGTTTTCAGACTGGGTTTCTCTGTAGCTTTGGAGCCTATCCTAGAACTCGCTCTGCAGACCAGGCTGGCCTCGAACTCACAGAGATCCACCTGCCTCTCTGTCTTCCGAGTGCTGGGATTAAAAGTGTGAGGCACCACTGCCCAGACTGGTCCAGTGTTTTTGTGACACAGGCTACCTTATGCTGAGAAGAGCATGCTGGAAGATGCTCCTAGGAAGCATCTCTAGGAAGATACAGCTAGGGCTCTCTTTACCCATCCAGCCCCTATACCTACAGATCCAACCCCAAACCCCCAAATGTCTGATGAGGGAGCTAGGAACCAGAGGTTAGGAGTCAATCAAAAGTTTGTCATTTATTTACAAAAAATTAAAAAAAGGATTTAAAGCTTTAATTAGTTCTAGCAACCCATAGTCCCCAAATGCCCAAGCAAGGGCCCTTGCTCTTCCCAGAGGTACCGGTAGGGGAAGGGAGGAGGAACCTACCCTCTGGCCTACCCTCAGAAGGTCCTCAGGCTGGTCAGGCACCTGCACTAAAGCCAGGCCTGAGGCCGGAGGCAGCGGGTAGGCAGGGAGATGAGATGGGCTGGAAGCCTGCTGCAGTGGGGACTCTGGGACGCTCCGCTGCTGTCTATGCTAAAGGAAGGTGAGGCCAAGGTGTAGGCCTCTCCCATCCCAATACTCTACCCTGGGCCAGTCTCGAAGGAATCTGAAAGCGGAAATCAAAAGGCACCGAGTGTGGCAGTCTGTGGAGAGACAGGCAGGTGTGGCGAGACCCCATCTCTGCACCCACACCTTGGCTACTGGGACAGCGAGGGCTCTAGCAGCTTTAGGACTCCCCCCACCAGATGCAGGCTTCCTGTAACCAGTACATGGATGGCAGCAGCCTCCCGGAGAATGCTTGCCCCACTGCTGGCCGTGGGGTGGCTGAGGAGGCTCCTTGGAGGGCTCGAGGGTTGAAAGATGGGATCCCGGCCTTGGCTGATCCACTGCAAGGCATGGGAGATACAGCTAAAAACGAGGGAGTTTGTGCTAGCCGAGTGAGGCGGGTGCCGTCCCCCAGGCTCAGGGCCGGGGCTGCTCCAGAGGTCGGGGCCGGCTTGTTTCTCGCCTAGGCAGCTCCAATGTTGCTGGTGTTGGAGGCAGCGGAGCAGCACCTGATCCAGAGTCACCGTGAAGTTCTGCTGGTCTGCAGGATCCAGGACAAGGCGTGTCAGTGGAGGGGAAGGGGAAAGGGGCTGGCCCACAGTGGACCCTTGCTTAGCTTAGCACCTGGCCCTTCATAAGCATCATGTCACCAGACTCTGCAGCTCCCGTGTCCATCTTTACAGAGTCCAGCTGGGGTCCCTCACCAGGTGGACATTAGCATTTCCCAGGAAGCCAGTTAAAAATACAGATCTCAGAACTCTCCACACATGGTCCAGTGTGAGACCTGGACATCTAACTATCTATGCACACTCCCCACTCCTTCAAAATTTTGAGTACAGTGCAGCATAGTTCACAAAGATTTTAGGAGCCGGTGAGATGGCTTAGTGTGAAGGCTCTGCCAAGCCTGGCAACCCACGTCTAATTCCCATGACCCTCACGGTGGAAGGAGAGAACTGAGTCTCCCAAGCTGCCCTCTGGCCTCCATTCACGTGTCCCCACCCCAACTAAATAAATAATAAGGGTAATTAAAAATAACTTTTAAATACATTTTACACTGCAACAGGGTACCTGCATTCTTCTATACATGCCCAGACCTGAATCTTGACCAGGCAGTAGTAAGAGCCCATCCTTCATGCCATGCACACTGGTATTTCCCATTACCTTATATTCAGTAAATTCTAGCTGAGACCCACTAACTGACTTGAGCGGCCATCAGTGACAGTAACCTGATAATTCTTTTAAGGTGCTGAGGCTACATGTCACAAATTTTAAAATTACTAAATGGATTTTTTATAATAAATAGAATAATCTCTACCCTAGGGCTGGAGACATGATTCAGATGTCAGCTGTTGAGTACCCTTGCTGTGGCCGGGTGGTAGTGGCGCTCGCTCGCCTTTAATCCCAGCCCTCGGGAGGCAGAGGCAGGCAGATCTCTATGAGTTTGAGGCCAGCCTAGTCTACAGAGTGAGTTCCAGGACAGGCTCCAAAGCTACGGAGAAACCCTGTCTCGAAAAAAAAAAAAAAGAAACAACAACAAGAACCCTGGCTGCTCTTGCAGCAAACCAAAGCTCAGTTTCCAGCACCCACGTGATGGCTCACAACCGTCTGTAACTCCAATCCCAGGGGATCTAATGACCTCCTCTGGCTTCCCCAGGAGCCAGGCACTCATATACACACCTGTAGGCTCTCTGACATACACATATAATAAAAATAAATCTTTCTAAAAGTGCTATCTTCTAGTATGGTTTGAGCAGTCTGACCAGGCCCTCGGCATCAGCCATCCACCTGACCCCTCCCCTGCATCCCTCACTGAGCAGTCTGCCCCGGCCCTCAGCATTAGCCATCCACCTGTCCCCTCACCTGCATTTTCTGTGGAAGAGACTTCTGTCAGGTTGGGGCAGAAGACAGCGTAGTCAAACTGGCAGGGCTGGAGGCCAAGTGGAGACGTGGTGTCAGTCCTCTGAAAGGGTGCCCCACCCCCACCTGACTTTCAGGGGTGGAGACACTGCCCACCCCTGAACCAGTGATAACAGCACCCCCATCTGCCTCAGTGCACACCTGTAGGCTGGAAGCTGCACAGCCCATTACACTAAGTACTGACATACATGCACTGTTTTACTGAACGGAGATCTGAGTGGTGCCTAGTTAAGGCCGTCTAGCTGGAGAGCAGGCCCCAAACCCAGGCTGGGTACTTTCTAGATATGAACCACTTCTTTCTCCTGCTCTGAAATGCGACATGATCCACTTTGGCTCTGACAGCCTAGAACAGACTCAGTTTCCCCAAGCAAAGATGCCACAGGGAGTCAGATGTGGTGGTGCAGGTCTTTAAACCCAGCACTTGGAGACAGAAGCAGGTGGATCTCTATGAGTTCAAGGACAACCTGGTCAACAGAGGACAGTCAGAGCTACACAAACCAAAAATAAATAAATAAAGATGCCACATGAAATGACTCCATTTTATAGCTGAAGACATTCAGGCCTGCAGCGCCCACACAACCAGAACCAGTGCCACTGGCCGCCCACCCTCCACGTAGGTCCATTACCTGCAGAAACTTCAGCAGGGCAGCAGGGTCCCTGTCACCAGTGGAGTTGAAGAGCAAGACGTGCACTTGGGACCCACTGCACCAGGAAGAAAAGAGTGGGGTATGCCTGCTGTCCCCCTTCCTAGCCCATTCCAGCTGTTTCCCCAGATTTTACCCCTCCTTGAACTGGTCCAACCCCAAAGTCCCCTGGAACTAGAGTTACAGATGGTTGTGAACCACCATGTGGATGCTGGGAATTGAACCATCTCTCCAGCTCCAAGGTTTTTATTTATTTTTTAAATATTTATTTATTTATTATGTATACAATATTCTGTCTGTGTGTATGCCTGAAGGCCAGAAGAGGGCACCAGATCTCATTACAGATGGTTGTGAGCCACCATGTGGTTGCTGGGAATTGAACTCAGAACCTTTGGAAGAGCAGGCAATGCTCTCAACCTATGAGCCATCTCTCCAGCCCCCAAGATATAGATTTTATCACATCATTTAGTACATTTTAAAATTTGTGCCATGTAACTACAACACTGTAAAAGAATTATTAGTATAACACTTTTTATAAGGGCAGATTACAACCAACTAATGACTATTGAAATCAGCCCCAATAGGATCATTACCAGGCCCCCCCACCCTGCATGCCCAGCCCTGCAAGAGAGCTCACCCACTGGGGCGTTTGTTGCGCTGCAATGACTGGCAATACCACCGCACGCAGGCCTGCACACTGCTGGCGGTATGTGCGCCATCCAGGTACCAGGTGACAGGCCCCCGCCGCAACACCTGTGTCCGGCCAGGCCACTCCGTGTCCCGAAGCCCTAGCAAAGGCAAGGGAGACTGCTCTGGGATCCATGAGGCCTGCAGTTCCCCAAAGCCTATGACTAATGCCAGTCCCAGTTCCCGGAATGTTTGCCTCGCTATGGAATCTTCCAGGTCAGCCTGAGAGGCCACTGCTACCACACAATCATACAGGAGTCCCACGTGACAACCACAGTTTTGAGTTCACACAGCAAGTGAGGGGTGGGGCTAGAGAGTGACCTAAGATCTGCTCCCGGGCTGTCCCTGACAGCGACCCTGGCGCACTGGAACTATTCCAAAGAGGTCTAACTGAGAGCACCTACTACAGGCTGAAGGCAGTTTTAGAGGGCTGAGAGGAGAGGCGGCCTCACAGCAGGACAACAGACAGCAGCTACTGCTGACTGTCACGGCTCCAGGCCCTCCGGGCTCGGGGCTCAGCATCTGAGTGAGGTCACAGCATGACCCATCTACGCAGCCCTTGGCAGTGGGTGCGATCATTACCTCATTTGGCAGATAGGAAAACTGAGGCTCCAAAGATTTGTTAACCCTAGGCCAGAGAGGAATGCTTACCTTGAGGAACAATCTAGAACTGCCCCAACCCCCAAACAGAAAACTAAAAGATGCATCTTAAGGTCACAAAGATATAACGGGGTTAAATGTGTATCCTAGGTGGAACAAAGACGTGTGCGGTCCTGGCTGGGCAGGAAGCTGGGGTTAAATGTACATCCTAGGTGGAACAAAGACGTGTGTGGTCCTGGCTGGGCAGGAAGCTCTAACTTACCATGTCGCATGTGGGAGGTGGGATGGAACACGGGTGCCAGAGGCAGCTGCCACCGTATGCTTGGCCTGGACACCTTCAGTTCCTGGATATCTGTGGGGCATCAGTCTGTGTTTAGACCCCTCCAAGGTGGGCTCCACGCACTGCCCACCTGCCTGCCCACACTGGCCCACCTACCCTGGTGGCCCTGCTGCTCCAGCCAACAGTGGGCCAGCTGCAAGGCCAACGCTGCATTGGACCGCTGGTGATCTCCCTCCAGGCCGAGGGTCAGTGGCAGCCCACCCTCTTCCAGGGCTTCTAATGGTGGACACAGGTACAGAGGACACTGTGGGGAAGAAGGGCAGCACCTGGTCAGCAGACTGGCCACCACCATCACTTTGTTACAAAACCCTCTGACCATGCCCCAACCGTCAGGGCCTACCAAGACTGTGTTCTGGAGCATAATCAGTGCACACGCGTGTGCATACACAAGCACACACATGCATACACACACACAAGGAACCCGAAGCCCAACAGGAGACAGGGTCACTCAGGCCAGTGTGCCCTTCCACCCTCCACCACACCATCCAATCACTCACTGACGTTTGCTGGGCTCGATCCCTCAGCACGGCCAGGGGACCTTCTGGTTGCAGCACAGTGAAGGCAGGGACACCAGGCTGCAAACAGGCCAGGGAGAAAGTGACGAGCGTTGCTGGGGTCCTCCATCTCCCCTCTTGCTCCATAGACCTTTGACTGGGTCTAATTTCAGCTGAGGCCATAGAGGGGCTCAAGTCATACAGGGAGAGCAATGCAAAGCCAGACTGCACAGATGGCTGGGACCTGGCCCCCGTGAACCTCTCTGCATGGCCTGCTGTTACCTTAAAGATGCCCCCTTTCTGCCATGCTATCTTCTCCACTGTGTCTCCTAGCAGGCTGGTGTGGTCAATGCCAAGCGAGGATACTCCACACACCACTGGCTTTCTGAAAGAGACAAGAAGGTCCGCATCTCCTAGTACTGAGCCACCGGGCACAGGCTTCCGGTTAGCTGCCCATCTCCAAGCAGCGGCCTCACCTGATGATGTTGGTACAGTCATAAGCCCCACCAATGCCCACTTCCACCACGGCCAGGTCCACCTGCAGAAGACCAGACAGCATAGCAGGAGAACTACCCAGACACCACCTGGGAGCCAGACGCTCCCTCCACTCTATTTCGATCCCCAAGGACTCAGACACAGGGCCTAGGAAAGATGCATACCTTCTCTTGGAGAAAGACATGGAAGGCCATGAGCGTGAGGAAGCGGAAGTAAGCAGGCATGGAAATGTGACTGTCATCCTGCATACAGAAACAAATCAAAAGTCATCCCGTGGTCCGCTCTGGGGAGATGGGCCTGCCCTGGCCCTCCACAGCTCCACAGCTCCCCGGCTCTGGGGAGATGGGCCCGGCCCAGCCCCCAGCACCTTGAATTCCTCCAGCTGGTGGTAGAGACGCCAGAAGTGCTTGGTAAAGAGCTCAGGACTGATGGGCTTCCCATTGATGCGGATCCGTTCACGCACCTGCACCAGGTGGGGAGAGCTGCCGAGAGACCTGGGGTCATCGGGACTCCTGCCCGAGCCTCAGGGCCTTCCTTGCCCTAGTCAGACTTCTGTCAGAAATACACAACTGTGTTCCTCCCCTGGCTAGGGCCTCCCAGACCCCGCAGAGGCTGAATCTCAGAACTACCTCAGTCTCCAACCCCAGATTTCCGCCCACCCTTCCCTGCCGTCTGTGGTTCATCCTACTTACTGTACCACTCTCAACTAAGACACATTCCTCCAGAAAGGAGGAGATGATCCTGTCCCTGGGATGGTCTAGCATCTTCTCTGTGCCTCCAAGGTACCATTCTTCCCCACCACACACAGATCAGTGACTTGCTAACACGTGCCTATCAGCCTCAAAGTAATAAATCCAGAGAGCCACTCTCCTGCCCCGTCTACATGTTGGGTTAGAAGGCCACATAGGCCCAGGCCAGTGGCGGCACGTGCCTTTAATCTCAGCAGAGAGGCAGAGGTAGGCGGATCTCTATGAGTTCGAGGGCAGCCTGGTCTATAAAGTGAGCTCCAGGACAGCTATGACTATTATACAGAGAAACCCTGTCTCAAACAAAACAAAACAAAACAAAACAAAAACAACAACAACAAAAAGAAGACAGACCAGAGGCAAGGGCATTTGCTGCCACGCTTGATGACTTGCGCATGACAGAACTCAAATGGGAAGTGAGAGACTGCTCCTAAAAGCTGCCCTCAGCCATACTCCGTGAGGCACATGCGCACATACAACCACACGTACAATAAGAAAATGAATAAAGGTAAAACAAAAGCTATTAAATTTTCTCAAGTTTTTTTTAAAAAAAGCAGCCAGGCGGTGGTGGCGCATGCCTTTAATCCCAGTACTCAGGAGACAGACACAGGTGGATCTCTGTGAGTTCGAAGCCAGCCTAATCTACAAGAGCTAGTTCCAGGGCAGGCTCTAAAGCTACAGAGAAATTGTCTCAAAAAAAACAAAACAGGGCTGGAGAGATGGCTCAGTGGTTAAGAGCACTGCTTGTTCTTCCAAAGGTCCTGAGTTCAATTCCCAGCAACCACATTGTGGCTCACAGCCATCTGTAGTGAGATCTGGTGCCCTCTTCTGGCCTGCAGGCACACATGCAGACAGAATACTGAGAATACTGTATACATAATAAATAAATAAATAAAATAAAATAAAAAACAAAAACAAAGATTTATTCTTTTTAGTTTAGTTTGTTTGTTTTTAAGGGAGGGTCTCATGTAGCTAAGGCTGGCCTCCAACTAACCTAGGATGACCCTAAATTCCTGATCCTCTTTGCCTTTATCTCCCAATTGACAGATTTTACAGGTGTGTGCCACCACACTCCATTTCCAAAAGATTATTCTAGAAGATAGACAGTTGCCTTATATAGTCATAAATCGTTTCACAACCTTTGGCCAGTGACAAATGATTATATATCACCTTCAAGCACAGGACACAGTCTATCTCCAGATCTGGAGGTCTGTGTGCCACCACAAGGGGGCGCTGCCTCCACAGAAAATGTAGCTTTCCTGGCAGGACTCTACTGCCTACCTGTGGAGACTTAACATGACGGACTTATCTGTGCGTCTTTCTGTTCCGCACTGCAAAGACATCTCTACTAACAAACATTTCTATACTACTTAGAAACTGCATCTGGAGAGCCTGGGAGAGGGCTCAGTCAGTAAAGAGCTTGCCATGAGGACCTGGGTTCAGATTCCAGCATTCCCACATTCCCACCAAAAAAGGCAAGATAGTGAGTGAGCACTGCTGGAGAGGCAGAGAAAAGAGGATCCTGGGGCTGTCTGCTAGTTAGTGAAGAGGATCCCAGGGCTGTCTGCTAGTTAGTGAAGAGGATCCCAGGGCTGTCTGCTAGTTAGTGAAGAGGATCCCAGGGCTGTCTGCTAGTTAGTGAAGAGGATCCCCAGAGCTGGCTGCTAGTTAGTGAAGAGGATCCCCAGAGCTGGCTGCTAGTTAGTGAAGAGGATCCCCAGAGCTGGCTGCTAGTTAGTGAAGAGGATCCCAGGGCTGGCTGCTAGTTAGTGAAGAGGATCCCTGGGACTGGCTGCTAGTTAGTGCTCGACCAGTCGAATCGAATCCAGGAGCTCCAGGTTCAATGAGAGACTCAGCCTCAAACACATATACCACATATAGACACACAGACACACACTATAAAATAAAGAGTATGCTTGTACACCCATACATACATAAAAATCATATCAGAAGTAGGGTGGAGTGGCGCACACCTTTAATCTCAACACTCAAGAGGCAGAGGCAGGTAGATCTCTGTGATTAGGCCAGCCTAATCTACATGGAGAGTTCCAGGCCAGACAGCCAGAGCTATATGGGGAGACCTCTGCCACAAAAATAATAATAATAATAATAAATAAATAAAAAGCAAGCAACAAGCAGCTGCGTGTGGTGGCTCACCCCTGTAAACCCAGCAGAACCTCTAGGCCAGCCTGGAGTAAGGCCTGAGTTCTAGGTCAGCCTGGGCTCTAACCCAGCACCTACATGTGTCTCAGAACCCTCTACAATTCCAGTTCTACTGGGCACACATGTAAAGCCTATACACAGAAAATAAAAATATTAAAAAATTAAAAAAGCAAAAGTAAAAATTACATGTAAAATTAAATTAATAAAAGGTCACCTGACGCTTCCAGCCAGGAACTTAGGTCACCCCTTCAAGATACTGTCACTTTCCCTCCATTGCTTTCCTTATGAAATTGGTGGCTGCTATTAGTGATTTAATGTTGACTGAATGGATAAATCCTGGCAGAGAGACACACAGGCTGACCTTGGCTCTGGTACCGCAGCCCTCCGCAGAGCTAAGAGACACATCCCCCAGCCCCAAGAGTGCAGGAGTACCTAAAGAAGCCTGTCTTCAGGCCGTAATTCCGCAGGATGCGTTCAGCGAAGGCACAGGTGGAGCCCTAGAAAGTGTTGGGTGGGGTGAAGTGAAGGTTAACACTGATTGTCAACTTGGCAGCACTTAGTTGTTTATGGGCAGGTCTGTGAAGAAGTGTCTAGACAGGGTTGCTAAGGCAAGCCCAACACCAGCATCCATTACTTCCTGACTAAGGGTGCGATGCTATCTCCTGCCATGGTGGATCATATCCCCTAGGACTCACAGCCAAATAAACTTCTTCCCCTAGGTGCTAGACAGTATTATAGTTTTATGTTACCTTCACATAAGCGAGTCATCTGAGAGGAGGGAACCTCAACTGAAAAAAAATACTAAGACCAGGCTTTAGGTAAGCCTATGGGGCATTTTCTTAATTAGTGATTGATGGGGGAGGTCCAGCCCATTGTGGGTGGGGTCACCCCTGGACTGGTGGTCCTGGGTTAAGAAAGCAGGCTGAGCAAGCCATGAGGAGCAAGCCAGTAAACAGCACCCTCCATGGCCTCTGCATCAGCTCCCGCCTCCAAGTCCCTGCCCTGCTTGAGTTCTGGTTCTCACGGTTTTTGACGATGAACTGTTATATGGAACTGTGAGCGAAATAAACCCTCTCCTCCCCAAGTTGCTTTTGGTCATGGTGCTTCCTCACAGCAACAGTGACCCTGACAAGACACCCTAAGTCTCTACTTGTGGACGGGCACCAGTCTGCCACATGGACTCCTCTTGGGTTACTTTCCTTACCTTTCCTTTGGTCCCCGTGACGTGGATAATGTTTAGTTGGTTCAAGTCCTCCACCTACAACAGACAGAAAGGTCCCTGCCTCAGTCACAGGGCTGCCAAGCGAGGGGGTAGAAGTGGCACAGAATCTACTACCTTACCTGCAGCCCACTCCGCGCCAGGTACACCTCCATGGCTTCCAGCTGCGCCTGAGGGTCACCCCGTTGACGCTTTACCTGCTCCAGGTAGCTGGCATTGGTCTGCAGAGTGTTGAGCATGCGCACAGCATCCTGGCAATCATAGTCGTAGTTCAGTTAGGGTCCTTAACGACAGAGGTGCTCAGCCCACCAGAGGCAAAGCCAGGGCGATAGGCCTGTCACACCAGCCCCGTTGCCTTGGTCTACACTTACTTGGTAGGGAGAGAACCTGGGCATGTTTCCAGTTCTGGCAAAGGCAGGAGCCTGGGGCAGGCTGGCCCCACCCAAGGAGTGTCAGGTAAAGCTGGCAAGATTAACGGACCTTCATTTCCTGGGCTGCCTTCCCAAGCCTCTATCCCCCTCAGCCTTCACTCTCATAACCCCTGGACCTCTGCCCTTATTCATTCTACAACTACACTGGACATCCATCGGGCTGGAGCAAGGACCACGGACATCTAGAGACTTGGAATTCTGGAATTCCGTGAGACTCTGGACCTTCTAACCCCGAGACAAGATGAGGAAAGCAATTAGATCTGAAAGAGGAGGTACCAAGGGAGGGAAGATGTGCCCAGGTCATCAGGCAGAACTGGAGGTGGGTATAGCCTCTGGGGAGATGGCTTTGGAGGATGGGAGTGGGAACAGAAAATAACTGGGGAGGTCTAAATGAGCAGTATGGAGATTTGAATCCAGTCATGTGTATATTCCAATAACATCTACATTCTGAGAAGCCTGTGCTTAGGTAGGTCCCCTCAGGCATCAGACCCGAGTGGCCTGCTCTCTTAGCCTCACCGCTTGGCTGGAAGCCTCAGCGCTCTCAAACCGGTGGCACCTGCCTGGCTAACATCAAGTTCTGGTCATTGACAATTGACCCTTGGCACAGCAATCTACAGACATTTTCTGTTTTCCGCCTCTTGGGTCTCTGTATTGTCTCTTTTCCTGCCTGTCTGCCAGCCAGTTCTGAACACTTGGATTCCTAGTCTTCGAGTCATGGAGACTTCAATTCCAGATCCTCCTGGGTATTTCCACTCTGGACTGCAGAACTCCTCCCTTCCCCCGCATCTCGCACTGCCAGTGCAGACTCTGGGGTCACTGGAACTTCTAAAACTCAATTTAGACTCTGGGAGTCCCGGTGTAATAATCACCAGCGCCCCTTCCCTCTGTAATGCGCGACACAAAATTCCCAGATCCGGCCACCTGAGCCTAACTTTCTGGTTCCCGTCACCTCCCCTGGACTCCGGGATGTCACCGCCTCCCGAACCCCGCAACTTCAAGCTCGGATGCCCCCAGCAGCTGACGGAGCGCGGAACGCGGCTCGGGTCTAGCCCACGTGTCAGTACGCGACCGTTAGCCCCACCGCGGGTCAGAAACCTGATACTCCATGCCGGGCTCCTGCGGCGCGGGCCACGCACTCAACCACCGCCGCGCCGCGCCCTCGGTCGTTGCACCACGCGCAGAAACAGCTGCCAGGGACAGAGCCGAGCGCAGGTGGCTCCGCGCCCGCGACATAATCCCGATGCCACTGCAAACTAGGCCTGGGCCGGTGCCGACCCGCTTCGCCCCACCCCAACCCGCCCCGCCCTGACGCGCCTCTGAGATCCACCAATCAGAGACTCTCAGGGCCTCCGGACCAATGAGAATCGGTGCCTTATGCGGCCATAGTGGTGAGGGGCAGATTGCCGAGCAGTGCGCTACTTTCGCCATGCTTCTGAGGGGCTCAACGCTTGGGAGGGTCGGGTAGAGTGGGGGTGCGTAGAAGTCGACCTTAAAGGGACTGCGCGCTCTTTTCGTCGCCATCCTCCAAAGTTCTGTGCGCAGGTCTTAAGGACTTTGCCACATATCCCAAAATAGCCGCTCCCAGCCAGCAGCCCTCAGCCCCTGCTCCAGGCCAGCCCAGCTCTGAGCTGGGATAGAATTACAGAGTTGGCAGACGCCAGTGGTCATCAGTTCCCACCACCGAAATGTCCCGGCTCAGGCACAGTGTGGCCTTTACGATCAGGAATCTGACACCTCTCCCGGGGTCCTTAAGGCACTTTGAGAAAATTAGGAAGACTTCCGGGAGGAATGACACCCCTGCTGAAGCTTGCGGGGTGCAGGGGGATCTCCAGGCTAAGAAGGGGACCGTGGCTCCTGCAGGGCCTTGGAGCCCTGTATAGAATGTGTATTAGGGCTGGAGTGGTTAAGAGCACTGACTGCTTTTCCAGAGTCCCAAGGTTCGAGTTAAGTCAAGGCTCAAGTCCCAGGACCCACACTGCGGTTCACAGCTGGGGATCCGATGCCCACTTCTGGCCTCCAAAATCACCAGACACGCAGGCATACGGTGTAGTGCACAGGCGGGTAAGCAGGCAAAGATTAAAAAAAAAAAAAAAGTCTGCCGGCTAAAATTAAAATGGCTTCAGGCTTCAGGGAGAGGAGAATGATCGGATTAGCATTTGGTAAACTCCTCACAATGGAGAGTAATTTCACCTAATTGTGGGTGTGGAGCCCCTCTCCGATTGTGGAAGGCACTGGAGAGAAAGCTGCCCTTCGAACTGCGATGGGTTTTCAATACCTTCCACTTTCCTATATTGGGCAGAGATTGTCTCTTGTTAAATAAACAAGGATGTTTGGGGAGGAGTCTGGACTTGGCTCTCTGAACGTGCTGCTGGCCTCAGCCTCACAAAGATCAGTTTGCACTGGTCTCCCGAGTGCTGGATTAGTGTTGAAGTTATTGGTCCACTTTTCCTCTCTATGATTTTTTCTATGGGGTTTCAGTCTATAACTCCGGTGGACTTGAGACACCATAGCTGGGCCAGGCTACTCTCAAATTCTCCATGCAGCAAAAGATAACTATAAACTCTTGATCCTCCTGCCTCCACACTCAAGGGGCTGAGATTCCAGTACTGGGCTGCCAGGCCTGTAGCACCACACCTGGTTTGACAGCCTATGGGATCTAATCCAGAGCCTCATGCACACTGGGCAAGCAACCTGCCACTGCCCAGTCCTCCAAGGGTTTATTTGGTTGTTTTAATAAAAGGTCTCAGCTGGGCAATGGTAACACATGCCTTGAATCCCAGCATTCCACAGAGACGGGTGGATCTCAGTGAGAGAAATCCTGTCTTGAACCCCCCCCCCCCAAAAAAAGTACTTTGTGCCTTGGGAAATGCGATTAAGAGGCGGGGCTCCAGCTGAGTGGTGGCGGTGCAGGCCTTTAATCCCAGCACTGGGGAGGCAGAGGCAGGTGGATCTCTGAGTTTGAGGACAGATTGCTTTACAGAGTTCCAGGACAGACATCAATACACTAAAAAAGAAAAATAAAAAATTAAAAGGGGCTGGAGAGATGGCTCAGCGGTTAAGAGCATTGCCTGCTCTTCCAAAGGTCCTGAGTTCAATTCCCAGCAACCACATGGTGGCTCACAACCATCTGTAATGAGGTCTGGTGCCCTCTTCTGGCCTGCAGACATACACACAGACAGAATATTGTGTACATAATAAATAAATATTTAATAAATAAATAATTAATTAATTAAAAGCCAGGTAGTAGTACACGCCTTTAATCCCAGCACTGTACTTGAGAGGCAGAAGCAGGCAGATCTCTGAGTTTGAGGCCAGCCTGGTCTACAGAGCTAGTTCCAGGACAGGCTCCAAAGCTACCAAGAAACCCTGTCTCGAAAAAACAAACAAAACAAAACAAAAACAACAGAGAAGTTTGCAGCACCCAAGGGAGGATGTCTTCTGTGGGGTGGGGTGGAAAGCCCTGCTCCCTGCTCGGCTACAAATCCTGATTAGTGAGTTTCCTTCCCCTCTTGTTTTCTTTGTTTGGTCGACTGTTGTTTAGTCTGTTCCCTGGACTGGAATTCCAGGTGGTTAAGAGCTGCGGTGTGGGTGCTGCGTACCAAACCCAGGTCCTCTGGAAGAGCAGCCAGTGCTCTTAGCTGCCGAGTCATCTCTCCAGCCCCAGTTTCTATTGTTTGCCATGACAAAGCAATAGAGGAGCTGGGATTAGAGCATTAGAGCATCTGCACTGTAGACACCAGCTCTAACTGGAAACAGAAATGCAGACATGGAGGACAAAGCGCTGGCAATTCCGTGGATCTAAACGTTCCAGTATTATTCCAGTTGTAACAGGGAATTATAAGTGGTATGCCTGGGCCTTGAGCATGCCCCCTCTGCCTTGGACCTGTATATGCTCTGCTGTCCCCAAGGGCGGTTTTTATGACTTTCCATTTGTTTATTATTTTGGGATAGGTCTCATATATCCCATACTGGCCTATAAGTCTCCATGTATTAAAGCTGCCCTTGAACTCCTGTTACTCCTCTTCCACCTAGAAAGTGCTGGGTTCACAGGCATGCGCCACTATCATATCCAGTTTATCCAGTGCTAGAGATCATGCCCCCGAAGCTCTGTGCACACTAGGCAAGCACACTGCCAACTGAGCTTATCCCCAGCCTTTAACTTTAGGTTCACAGACAGCCATCAACCCTGTGCAGGCGACTCCATACCATACAGCTTCCTGACCTTCTCCTCCCTGGTGCTAGGGTTGGCACACACACTTGCATGCCATATGTCTGTGGAGGTCAGAGAACTTGCAGGAGGTGGCTCCCTCTTTCCACCCTGTGGGACCTGGGGATTGAACTCAGGTTCCTCGGCTTGGGGGGCCATCATGCTAGCCCATCCACAAGGCTTTCTACCAGGCCTTTCTTCCGGACTGCGCTGGTATGAGATGCCCTGTGGCTGATTGGTTTTCTGAGCTGTGGAATACTCCAGGTGTGCAAACACTGTTGCATCCTTGACTAGTTTCCTGTGGGCTGATGTTAAGGCTATTTCCTAGATTTTGCTGTCCCATGCAATGACGTAATGGTATCACTTACTGTCCCTATTTCTGCCACATGTGAGCAAACCTAAGACTAAGACATACAATGGCTAAGTCAAACATACTGTGTTGTTGGGCCCAACGGGAGGCAGAACCAGTCCACTCACTCCAGGGGCCCCCTCGTATTCTCACGGCACAGTGGTTGACATCAGCTGCCTCAGAACCTCCGGTGAGCTAGAGACTGTCCTCATTCTACAGGGGGAGAAGTTGAGGCTCAGAGACATTAATGAGCACACCCAGAACACAGTCTTGCTCCTCCCGCCATCTACCTGTCTGCTCCCCAGGCTCTCCCTGGAGTTACTGGGCTTGCTGTGGGACTCTAGGAAAGTTGCCCTGTCTCTGATCGGTTTCCTCCACAGCAGGATGAGATCTACAGGAGGAGGTCCAGCCACCCCGTCGTCACCGGGGTCTCTCTACACCTGGGCTGCTACAAAGAACAAGAACGTCCAAACTTATCAGCAGGTGGTGCAGAAGCCTAGCATTCTAAAGTGGGATGCATCTCTGTACTCCACACCTGACTTAGTTTGTTTCAGAGGAGGGCAAAGGGGCCTTTAAATCAAAAACAAGCCTTTTATTATCATGTTAACTATACATAATGGGTTTCATTATGACATCTCCAAACATGTATATAATGTATTTTATCATCCCCTTTATCCTCTCTTGTCCCCCTCAACTCCCCATTCTCTACCCCCTCTTCCAACCTAAACCCCTTCTATTCTCATCTCTTTAAATTTTTTTTGGATTTTTCGAGACAGGGTTTCTCCGTAGCTTTTGGTTCCTGTCCTGGAACTAGCTCTTGTAGACCAGGCTGGTCTGAAACTCACAGAGATCCCCTGCCTCTGCCTCCCAAATGCTGGGATTAAAGGCGTGCACCACCACCACCCGGCCTTCTCTTTAATTTTTTGAATTATTTTATGTGTATGGCTGTTTTGCCTGCATGTATGTCTATGTACTGAGCATGGACCTGGCGCCCAAGGAAGTCAGAAGAGGGAACTCTCCTGTAGTCACAAATGATTGCAGGCTGCATGTGGTTCTGGGACTCAAACCCCGGGCCTCTGGAGAGCAGCCAGCGCTCTCAACCAGTGAGCCGTCTCTCCGGCCCTCATGTCCTTACATTTTTATTTATGTATTTATTTATTTTGGTGACCAGAGAGTTTAAGGTTATTTACGGGAACACGATGTTCTAGGAGCCATGGCTGCAGGGCTGAAGAAACCGCCTCCCCTCCCTCAGCAACTATTAACTGAAAAACGGACTTCCATTGGTCCTGCAATCAGGCCTTCTAGAACAACTGGAGGGGACAACTGGCACAATTCAGAGCCCTTTGTGCCTCACCTCACAGAGCAGGTGACGTGAGTAAATATGCCACATGAAGCCCCCTTTTCTCTGGGCTTGCGGCCACCTGCTCGCCTTCCTGTCCTAAGGGTCCAGTTTGCTGGCCTCACTCTGTTTGGCATTTCAGGCCTTTCTGCCACACTGGTATCCTATGTCCCAGGT